CTCTCGAGTTTTATAAAACGATCTCTCAAGTTTTATAAAACGATCTTCGAGTTTTATAAAACGATCTTCGAGTTTTTATAAAACGATCTCTCGAGTTTTATAAAACGATCTCTCGAGTTTTATAAAACGATCTCTCGAGTTTTATAAAACGATCTCTCGAGTTTTATAAAACGATCTTCGAGTTTTATAAAATGATCTTGAGTTTTATAAAACTGTTGCGTTTACGCGTTTGCGGGGAATTTTGGCTTTTGATTCCGTCGTACCGATTTTGACCCCAACAATCTTCGAACTTAAGTAGCCTGTGGAGGCTTTTAAATCCTTGTTTTGTTTTATTCTGCCTTCGACTTATAAAGATTTTAATTTGATCTTGACCGGGATCAAACTTTTTCGCTAAGGGTTTCGTCTATGTTTTGATGAATTTCTTAGTACGGACTCGATCGTCTAAGTAGAAGTCTTTAGTTCCTTGAAAGAAGGATTCTGGGTCCTGTTAGTAACAGGTCCCGTAGTCGTTAGACATGAGGTCTGGGAAACTTTCGGGTGAAGGTCAGGGAGCCTGTTGATAACAGCTGAAACTGAAAACATTGAGACCGAGAACGTCGAGACTCAGAACGTCGAGACTGAGGTTGTCCCTAAGGGTCCTTCGGGCGATGGAGTTGAAAAAGGTAATGGCGCTGCGCAGGTCGACGGTACCGGGACTTTATCCGGGGAGAATCCGGCTGCAGGAGACCGAGCCGGCTCGTTAACAGTGAAGAGGAAGAGGTCGATCGACGACCATCCCAAAAACTCCGCTGAAAAAGATTCGCGAAAGATTGACAAGCAGCCTGCTGTTCCTTCGAAGGAGGTGATTCCATCGGCTTCTCGTAACTTACCTTGGGGTGGATCAGGTCCTCCAGCCAGGAAGCCTCCGCTGGCTCCTACCGAGCGTTGGGATTTTCGTCACAAGAAGGACACGCCTTTCGTCAATGACCAGGGATCGTGCGCCAAGCTATCGCGCAACATTCGAGGTGGTACACGTGAGATGCCAAAAATTCGTGATCTTGCTTTCCCGGTTAAGTTTGCCGAGTCATCCCATGCGGACGCAATAGTAAGGCCTTTTTCAACTTATGTATGTTCGATTGGTCGTCCTCCTCCTCTTTTGATGTCATTCCTGATTGTATTAATTGCCATTGTTCTTGTAATTGTAGGCTTCTGCTAGTAAGAACCAACTTGTCTTGGATTACGAAATCGCTATGCGGAAGATGGCGTTTGACCTTAGCAAAGCTGAAGCGGAGATCAAGGCCAAGGACGCAGAGTTGGAGAAGGTACGGAAGAGTGCCTTGGAAAAGGCAAAGGAATTTGCCATCGATCGAAACCGCAACCAACGTGAACGCAAGCAGGCTGCCGAGAGGGCTAATGGTATCGAGGAGGACCTGGAGAACGCTCGGACTAAAATCGCCGAGTTGGAGCACGAAAAAATCGAGGAGGCTGAAAAGCATAAGAGAGTGACAGATTTCATGAAGCAGGCCCGGATTCGTGAGGTTACGTCAGAGAGGGGGCGCCTCATGGACGCGGCTGCCGCACGTTTTGACAAATTTTGGAAATACATGGCTGATCGGGATAAGCTCGAAACGAAGCTTTGCCTTCACTGCCAGGCTTTTGGGACTTTGCAGTCGATGGATGTGTTGGAAACGTGGGGTTTGAAGGTACCGAAGAGGATGAGAGGCATCTTGACGGTTAACGAAAAGAAGTACAAGCGTGAGGTTGAGGAAGTCAACATGGAGGAGATTACAGAGCGGGATCTCTCCTTATCCCCTCCCCGTTCTGGATCCCTTCAAGGCCTTAACCAATTCAGGACAAACTTAGGAATAGTCGACGCGGTGACGGCTACTTCTCTTCGTTCTCCGACAGTCGGCGTTGGGAGTGCTGCTACCGCGGGAGGGGTATCGAGCGTGGCGTTGGTTACCGCGGCTGATGCTGGAGAGGACGTTCCTGCGGAGGTGGAGATGGTCCGACGGAGGCTTCCGCCCAGCAATCGGTTGACGGTCCAAAAAACTCGGGTGTTTGACTCGTTTGTTGTTGTTGTTGCTTTATGATAGACCATGATTTTGACCCGCTTTTGTTTATATTTTCTATATGTTTTTATTATAAATATCTATGTTTTGGAGTCTAATAGGTATGTTTTCAGGTCCAGGAGCATTTTGTGGTAAAGTGATGATTTAGGTGCCTTTTGGTGCTTAAAGAAGAGTTTTCCAAGATGACTATGAAGATCCGATGTAAGAGATACATATCGATCGATACACACCCCTGTGTAATCGATCGATGACGCTTCCGTAGAAGTTGAAGTCGAGATCCTCCATCGATCGATGTACGCAATGTACCATCGATCGATACAGAGCGTGATGAGCAAGATGTATTTGGCCAACTTGAAGCCCAAGTTCTCACCAAATTACAAGACTGCCCCTGACGATTTTTTTAACCTAATTGTACTCCCTATTTATACCTATGCCTATGATGCTTTAACAACAAGAAGTTTTGAATGAAGTTTTGAACCAAGTTTTGTATTCTATTTAGCAATAAAAGCATTTTATTTTCTTCTTATTATTTTGCTATGAATCTCTTGGCTATGTCTGAGTAGATTCATATGTTAGATTTAGGGTTCAAATAGTTATGAGGGATTAGCCCCAACTATGGATTGTTGAGTTGTTATATTCATTATCCAAATGAACCTTAATGCTTACTCTAGACTTGCTACCTAGAGTATTGATTTTGGAGTGACTAATCTAATATTCATCTTCCTGAAATCATTTGGCTAAACTCAGACTCTATTAAGGCACGTGCGATAGCCGGTCTTGTAGAAATTCTCGGGTGAACAATAGTTCGATCCGATCTGATACTTAATATCGATCGATACTCTTCTAGGGTATCGATCGACGACAGCTTATATCGATCGAAACTGCGATAGCATCGATCGATGCAGTCGGCAATCAGATCAATGGACGAGTCTAACTAGCGACAGCTATAGATTTGTCTAAGGATTGAAGTTCTCATATATTTGCAAGCAATTCTTTAAGACATCCATAGATCTATAATCCTGATTTTCTGAATAGTAACCTTGAATCTAACTATTTTCCTTCATTGTTTTTAAACCAAAACCTATTCTCTTTAGCAACTTACCATTGCTACTATTTTATTTACTGTTTTAAACCTTTTTCAACGTAGCTTAATCACATAGGATTACATCTTTTGTGTCTCTAGTTCCTTGTGGATTCGATCCCTAAGTACTACGATTGAACCTCTTTTGATGAGAGTAATTCACTCCTTAGGGTAATTTGAGTGATATCAAATTTGGCGCCGTTGCCGGGGGAACTAAGATCACTATTAGATTTAATCTGATTCAGTCTAGGTTTTTTGTTATTTTATTTTTCTATCTTTTGACACAAAATCTTTTTCTTTTTCTTTTTGTCTCTTTCAGGTACATGCCCAGCAGTACTAGGAGCAACAAGAACAAGCAGGTTTTGTACTCAGAAGATCCCAACAACCTAGAGCGTAGTATTCGCAAGGACATACGCTCCGCATCGATCGATACCAACACCATCGTATCGACCGATACGCCCTTTCCAACGACGATCAACAACTGTTCGTCAACCGATACCTTCACCACCTCATCGATCGACATCAACAACCGTTCGTCGACCGATACCCACCACTTGACATCAATCGATACACCACATCTGACATCGATCGATACTAACCGGCGAGACATGGTAGCGCCTATGATTCTCATACCCTATGAGAATGGAGACCTGCGTGATTAAGATGGTCAACTGCGGAATGCAGCAGGTCAGAAGCTGAATGATCAGAAGGAGATCATTATTGAAGAGACTGCACCTACAGGCATCATTCAACCTGTAGAGGAGACCAGAACTTTGGTTGACTACAACCGCCCCGATCAGTTCTATTCAAACCGATCAGCCATCCTACCTCCTGCCATCCAGAGAGGAGATTTTGAGCTCAAGCCGCAGTACTACACACTTGTGGGTCAAATCCCTTTTTGTGGTTTGCCCCATGAGCATCCTATGGACCATTTGAAGAGGTTCGAGGATCTTGTCACCCTAGTCAAAGCAAAAGGAGTCCCTCAAGACTATCTTTTCTGCAAGCTTTTCAAGTACTCTCTATCTGGAGAAGCTTTGCAGTGGCTACGAACTACCACCAGGTTCCCTTACCACCTGGAATGATATCAAGCACGCCTTCCTGCGTAATTTCTTTGATGATTCACGCGCTGAAGACTGGAGGAAGAAGATTGCTACATTCACCCAAGCCCCTGAAGAGTCATTCAAGGATACTTGGAACAGATTCAAGTTCTACCAGCGAGACTGCCCACACCACGGATTCAACCAAGTGCAACTGCTCTGCACCTTCTATAGAGGCATCAACCCCGATTTCAAGAGAGCCCTTGATACAGCTAGCGATGGCAACTTCACCACCAGGAATCCTCAGAATGATTTCAAGCTAATTGACAACTTAGCTTCCAGCAACAGCACAAGAAACTATATGAAGACTACATCATCCCCTGGGAAGGAGTATGTCAATGACGTTCAAGCACAGGTAGACAACATTCAGAAGCTCCTAAACAAGCAGATCTGTGCAGTGGAAGATTCAGAAATGGTAGAAGAAGACGTCAACTGGATTAGTGGAGCCGGTTTTCAGAGATCTGGTAACCAAGGAGGATTCAGAAACTTCACAGGCCAGAGAAGCAACTATAACCAGAATCCCCAGAAGCCCAACACTTTCAGCAGCAGCAATCCTAACAACAACAGAAGCTATGGAAGTGCCTTCTACTCAAATCCACACCCACCCACCCAAGATACTAAACTGGAGGAATTGATGGACAAGATACTTGAGAGTCAGCAGAAGCTAGAGGTAAACTTCAATGAAAAGATTGATTCTGTCTACACCACCTTCATGACGAAGATAGATGCACTCAGCACTCATGTGAAGAAGCTAGAGACCCAGGTGTTCCAGACAGGAGAAGCAGTTAAGAAGCAGGAGTTTACCCACAATATCAATGCCCTCCTAGATGATGACTTTTGGAAAAAGGTAGTAGAAGAGATTCATAGATCTGATGATGAGAGTGAACGAGAATTCGCCTACGGCTACTATCGATCGATATCACCAGCTCGACATCGATCGATATCACCTTTAGTTCGTCGATCGATTGACTTCGATGAGTGTCGATCGATGAACTCCGACGAAAACCCTCACGAGTGCAATTCCGTCAAGATTATGTCTCACGCCGAATTCACCACACCTCACCCACATCCGCCCAGCCCTGTCATCGATCAACATGATGCCCCCATCATCGATCGACATCAAGACCTTGTCATCGATCGACACACACCTACCAGTGTCGATCAATATGAAGTACCCCAACGCCGAGTGCCACTTCCCAAAGTCGACAGTGCAGGTCTTGACGTTCCGGGAGCGCTATTACACCACCAGAAACCCTACAGCAGCCCTAAAAGAGAGACCCACAGATATTTTTGAGTCCATGGAGATAAAAATGGAAAATGTGGGGAGAGTGCTCCGAAAAAGGAAAGAGAAGATACCTAAACCCTATAAAAGAGAAGCTAATGAGAAGGAGTTGTCAAGCTTCAGAAAAAGAGTCCTCAGAATACCTAAAGAAAAACCTTTTGAAGAAGCCTACTTTTCACATAGATTGTGGATGTTCTTCATAGAATCAAAGGAGACAGAAGAAGACATCAGGAGGATGTTTAACCACGTCAGAGATATCCTTAAGCAGAAGATCACACTGAAGAAGAAGAATGATCCAGGGAAGTTCACAATACCTTGCTCCATTAGAGGTGTTGAGTTCCCACGTGCCCTTTGTGACACAGGATCTGGAGTTAGCATCTTACCCAAACTCATGGCAGATCATCTAGGCTTGAAGATAGAGCCTTCTGAAGAAACCTTCATCTTTGTAGATTGTTCTCAGCAGAGCTCTGGAGGCATCGTTCGCAACCTTGAGGTACAGATTGGAGAAACCCTAATTCATACAGACTTCCATATCCTCTCCAACAAGCTGAACTTTAAGTTCCCAAGGCCAGCCAGCTCAACACTCGTAGCCACATGTTTCTGTGCCCACGAATTTGATTCTATGGAAGAGTATGACCCCGACGAAGCAGTATCGACCGATGACACCACTACCCCATCGATCGATATCCTTGCACCACCATCGACCGACAGTCCTAACCTGCCATCGCTCGATGGAGCCTACCGACGAACCGAAGCCGAGTTCCCAGAAGCCGATTTCAACGCAGCCGATTTGGAAAACGATCACTACTTGCCCGAGCTTGCCAGTATCAATACTCAGAAGGAGTATGATGAAGATTATGAGGAGGAACAAGCTATAGAGTACCAATTTCTTCGCGAAGATGAAGAACAACCTCCAATCCCGACCTTCATCCGACGAGCATCGACCGTTACGACACCTGGTCCATCGATCGATATGCCCTACCCTAGATCGCGCAAACGACGGTTCGAATCAACAAGCGACGAACCCTACTGCAGACCAGTCTATGTCCCACACGAACCACGAGACGGAGATTACTCGATTGGAAGCTGGGCCAGCGGTTATCAGGAGAGTTTTGCAGTAGACACAGCACCCCTACAAGCCGCAACTCAACCTGCCGATCCCGTATCGCTCGACAAGGAGTACAAGCCATCAACCGATACGCCCTACACACCATCGATCGACGAGACATCTCGCCATCGATCGATATCAATCTCAGACCACCAACCGATCCTGCCACAACACCAACCGAGGTACAAACACCTAAATTTGATTTAAATTCACTAATTCCAAATGAGTTTGGTATTTTCAGGGATTCAGATGGTCATGCACGTGCTATAGACGGGAGAATCATTCCTATCTCCACAGAAGATGTTGCAGACTTACTCCAGATGGCTATTGGTCCAGTAACCCCCTCTACACAACCACCCCGCTACCCAAACGATCCACTCAATTTCAGCAGGCATCAACCGATGCATGGTGACGCGCATCGACCG